AATCCACAGATGAACAAATCTTGGATGTGATGATCCCATCGCAATCACATATGACAATCTTGATGCGATGATCCCAAAAGCAGGTGGAGGGATGAAAATATCAGGGAAATTAAGGGGAAAAACAGGTGAAATATGAATACAGAACAAAAAAGTGTAAAACCAGAACAAAAAAATGTTTCAAATCAGCTACTGAAACTCTACAGATGTGCTCATCATCTCTGAAAGTTTAGACCAATGCACCAACTTTTGAAAAACACTAAGGGAATCCTACAAATCTTTTGGTAAAATCCATGGGAATTCATCCCCTCCGAAGCCCATATGGTCTTTGTACAATACTTCCTAACCAATAAACCCACCTAACCTAACCTCCTGGGATTTATACAATATACTTTACATAGTCCCTTATAGGGGGCTCCCACGGTAAACAACTTGAAACGGATATGTATTGAAATACTGAAATTTTCTTTGCTTCCGTCTACTATTTGAATTGTTTGGTTTCTTATCACTTTTTTCAGCATTTGGGCTCAAATGTGAAGCTGTGATAGTTATCATCAATTACTTCTACACAGCCACTATATTGCTTTCTAAATGAACCAGACTCAATGCAACACTGAAAACTAAACATTTCTCACTGGCGTTTGTCATGGAATGAAGTCTACAGGTGCTGTCAAAGGTTAATGTTACAGAAAGTAATGCACAGTGATAGAAGGAAATGGACACCACCATCTTATAGAAATGAAGTGATACAATTCACGAATACAGCTGCTGCACCCTCATATTTACAGAGAAATGACGAAAATATCTGCTGCATATTACTGCTCAGAGTAAAAAGTACGCAAAGTCAACTTTATTTTCTATTTCCACAAGAAATGCCAGAGATGAAAAAGTCTCAGCTTTCATTAGGATATCCCACAATACACTATTTAACTTGAAATCCAGGTTGTAATACATTTTTATATCCAAACACCTAGGAAACTTAGTGACCTGTGAAGGATGGCTTAAAAACAGTTTGGGTGAAGGCTTAGGTAGTGGATATCTCAAAAAAAATAAAAAAAATAAAATAAAAAATAAAAAATAAAAAAATAAATAAATAAAAATGAAATAAATAAATAAATAAAAATAAAAAATAAAAATATAAAAATTTGCTACACATATTTAATAGATGAAGTAGTAACCCATTTATAGTGGGGTACATATATGTAAGCACAAATTCACATTTAAGCATACACTATCGACTGTGGGTTGTGACAAATATCTTGATTTTAGGAATAAACGATGATACTAACAATGTATATTCTCGATTACAGTGATGATAATGATATGTGTTTGCATTTTTACCCAGATACATTCCTACTAAATGTTGGAGTAGGTCACTCATATGCCTAAGACTGTGTTGCCACCCTCGTTGAAAATTGAATCTATTTTTGTTGTTTTTCTACATATGCTTTTATGTAGAATGTATATACAATATAATTTTACTTATCATAGCAAAATATTAAATAAGTAATAAAACCCTGTTTGCCTCTTTACACATTCACAGTAGACTAATCTTGAAAATAACAAAATTCAAAAATCTATTATCTTGTACAGTTTGGATGGTTAATTTTTATGGTATGGGCACACTAAGGTAGAACAAATTTAAGATAATATTCTTGTAGAGGACAAAAAGTTAGTCTTCAGTACAAGAAATAAAGTAAGCCCAGTTACAGCAATTCAGGTTTCTCAACAACACGTGTGTGGTGGAGTGGGAACCGGGTCTCAGATGAGTGCATACCACTGATGATGGTGTGTACACACATGCCTTCACCATGAGTTTAGTCGAAAACCTCCTGGGAAACAATTGCTTCACCTCGGTATGTATGGCAAGATAGAGCTGCGTCCAAACCATAAAGAATAAACCAAATACCTTTATATATCGAAACCCAAAGTTTCCTTCGCGTCTATCTATTGTCTGGATTGTTGGGTTTCTTAACAATTTGAGGCACTCAATGAGCTCCCATTTCAATCTGTGATAGTTACTAATGTCTATTTCTTCAGCATAGCCACTATATTGTTTTAGGACCCAGTATTGATGCAACACTGACAATAAAGCATTTTTCATTAGCATTATGTCAGGAAACAGTGAAGTAGTTCTTGAAAGCCCCGGTGATGAAAACATGCATACACAGAAGGTTTGTGTAAAGAATTGCATAAATAACTATCAAAACATGTTAAAGAAGCTTAACAAGAATAAAAGAGTGCATTATATACATGAATTAGGAAAAGCAGTTGTTGTAAATTATGGTAAATGTTAGCGATAGTGATGCACCCTCCTAGAGAATAAGTAAAAAAGAAATTGATGTTTTTCTGCAGGAAATCTAATGATTTCATCAATTCTTGGTGCTGTTTCTTCTGCGAATAAATCCTTGAGGATATCAAGTACCATTTCTCCCTTAAGGATCTTGATTTGATAGTCCTGATACCAGGGGAGGGCAGGGTTAAACATGCCTAAATAAGATTAACATGGGGGGGAACCAGTACAAAAATGTTTAAAATATATGGGAATCCAACCCACCTTTTGGTAACATATACGGGAATTTACACGTTCTAAACCCAAAAAAAAACATACAGGCCAATAAACCAACCTATCTAACAATTTAAATTGCTGCGACTAGGTGTGCCCTTTAGGCATTGCCCAAAGGGAGGGTTGATGGGGGGCAGGGCCCCTCAACACCCCCTGGGTAACATTCTCTTCGCCTTGGCATGTATGGCAAGAGAGAGCTGCGTTCACACCATAAAAAAAATACCTTTATATCTGGAAACATCAAACTTTCACTTCTTTGTTGATCCTACTGTATAGGCTTAAGAATAACCCAGAATCAACGCAACATGACTCACTGGCCTTTTGTCATGGAATGGCCGGTGAACTCTCAAACCTTGCGGGTGGCAACTAAGTCTGAAACACACGATGCGCAGATCATTCTACATATAATTAGCAAAATGTAACTTTGACAAGCACGTAGTAACATGAAATACTTGGGATATTGCAGTAATGAGTCAATGTTTTGTTTTTCCTGGCAAGGTAAACAAGCTAAGCAACTTAGATTCTGGGCAGTGCTGTGCAGGAGATATTTTCGTCATTTTCCGCTGCAACTTGGACTATGTTGTTTTGACTATTTCTTACACTCTAAAATGTTGTTGTCCATTTCCCTCTATATTCGCACATCACTATAAGTAACCTATATCAATAACCATTTTCACAAGCATGAACTAGTTGACAAATCGTAGTTATGCGGTCATAGTAAATTTTTCCTTCGCAATGTCAACATGGTGAGGGACAGAAAAAGATAGGTCGATATTCTCTCTTCTCTGTCATGTATCTCCTTTATTTTTTATTTGCACACCTTATACCATAGATGAAAAGCGTCTCAGTTTACATCAAGGTAATCATTCCATAATTTTTTTTTTTTTTTTTTTTTTTTTAACTGTAACCCTGATTGTTATCTGCTGTAAATTTACTGTTGTTTAAAATTATGGGAGTTTTTGGCCATTCTTCCTGTGCTTCTTTTGCACTGCCAAGAGCAAATTGGGTATTTGTTGCTAAGAGAGAGAGACCTTCCAGACATGAAGTCCCAAAATCAGGGAATGTGAACCCCAAAACACAAACCTAAACCTTCCTACCTTTGGTCGATATGTAGGACAGGGTAGTGGGTTACTTTCAAAACTATTTTGATATTTATCTGCAGGAAATCCATTGATTTCAACGATTCTTGATGATGTTTTTTGTGCAAATGCTTCGTTGAGGAGATCTGAGTACCACTTCCATCGACAATCTGGATTTGTTAGTCCTGATAGCAGGGGAGGACATGAAGCATATCAGGGAAATTATGCCATAAATAAGAATAATAGTGAACAAGAATGCATGAAAAAAGCACAAAAATGCTAAAAATTGGCTAATGAAACTATGCACCGAATCACCAAAATTCGATTTCACACCTTCCAAACCCCCCAAAATGTCATGCCCCATAACCCAACCTAATTAGGCGTGCCCTTCGGATACATTCTCTTCACCTCGGTATTTAAAGCAAGATAGACCTAATGATAACAAACAATAAACCTTTATATATCAAAAGTCAGAACTGTCAAATTTTCTTCGCTTCTTTCGGTTGGTCTATTGTGGATCTATGTTTTCAACACTTTTTTCGGGATTTGGGTTACCTGACGGCCTCAGAAATCGAACTGCGATAGTTATTAAGGTCTTTTTCTTCATTACAACTGTATAGTCTTAAAAATAACCTAGAATCAACGCAACACTGAAAACAAGATCTTTCTTTCAGCATTCTGCCACCGAATCCCAGGGAATCCTCCTGCAAACTTGGTGCCCGGAAATTCAAAAATGCGCATGCACAGAAGGTACTTCAGACCAATTCCACCCCAAAAAAACTGTATTATTATTTTCTTAAAACACATAAATGAGGTATAACAACATTAATAAAGGCCTTTGAAAGCATAAATATTTAACGGCAGACACTGATGATTAGCAAAATATCATTTTGACAATTGCGTAGTAACACATGTACTACTTTGCACATCGCGGTAATGACATTCTGTGGTCAGTTCAATGTTTACTCTCGACGTGAAAACGAGATCAACAGCCAAAATTGGGCTCTCACCTCTGTTCATTTACATATAGTACCTTTGGGAAGCATTTGCACACATATTGCCATAGAAGAAAAGTGTCTTGGTTTGTATCATTCTATCATTTTACATAGATCTCATTACCCAACTCAGCCACTACCTCATACTGCATACTGTTCCTACCTTCTATTTATTCTCCTCCATACCCCTTTATCAGTACCTCAGGCTAACTTGGAAAATGGACATTGAGAACTTTGGTTGTTTGAGGGTGTTATGGACTTAGTGGTGACATGCAACGGTTATTTTCATTTCAAGGTAAATACGAGACTGAAGCAGCTGTACATGTGTTGTTTATGTCTCCATTTCTTATGTTCTATAAGATA